ATACTGCAGACTGTATTCTTCAACCTTCATCAGTAAGTGCCTCAAGTCATCCTCACTTTCAGCAAACAAAGTTGTATTGTTTGCGTATCTCAGGTTGTTAATGATTCTTCCTCCAATCCTGATGCCATGTTTTTCTTCAGGGACATTACCATCTATTTAATACTGCTGCTATAAGAATCTTTTCTTTTACTATAAGACGATTTGCACTTCATATTCCCAATATTTGTACCACTTATTCCTCCTACTAATTTCTTTCAGAAATAATTGGGCTCAATTTATGCTTATATGAAGAAAATGCCTAAGTCTGCATAGCTTCTCACTACCATTTAAACTTGAACAAAATGCTGTTGTAGTTATTTTCTATAGTGACACAAAAACCCTGTAAGAGATTCAGATCAGATCATATGAACATTTTCTACAGATGAAGATGGTGAATTTGAGAGGGTACATAACTTGCCCAGTTGTGGTTAGTTATAGAGATAGGGCTGGATAGCATTCCTTGTGTGATGCTCTTTTCAGGATTCCATATTAGCCTCTGTAGAAGGTACCATTCCCTGGAGAAGGATGTCATGCTTGGTAGGGTGGAGGGTCGACGAAGGAGGGGAAGGCCTTCAACGAGATGGATTGATACGGTGGCTGCGATGATGGGCTCAAGTATAGCAGGGATTGTGGGGCTGGCGCGGGATCGGGCAGTGTTTCGTTCTGCTGTGCATGGGGTCGCTATGAGTTGGAAACAACTTGATGGCACTTAACAACAACAACAACAACAGTTTGTTGCATAAACATGTCTTCAAATGGCTATTAAGTATATAAAAATATATATAAAAACATTGCTATATGCATATATGGGAAGTCTGGTGGTATAGTGCCTAAGGCACTGCTAACCAGAAGGCTGGCAGTTCAAACCCACCAGCCACTCCTTGGAAGGAAGAATGGGCAATCTACTTCCGTAGAGATGCCAACTTGGAAAGCCAAGGGGAGGGATCCTTGGGAGTTGAATCAACTCACTGGCAGTGATTTTTTTTTTTTTTTTTAAATGCATATATGGAAGCAAGACTGGGCAGTCTACTTTTGTAAGGATTTACCCCTCAGAAATCCAATGGGGGTCACCATGAGTTGGAACTGAATCAATGGCAATATATATGTGTGTGTGTGCGTGTGTGCATGTGTATACATACATATATGTGTGTGTGTGTGTGTATATATATATGTATGTGTGTGTGTATATATATATATTTGTTGTTGTTGTTGTTATGTACTGTCCAGTCGAACCCACTCATAATGACCCCTCCTTGGGTTTCTAAGGCAGTATCACTATGGAAGTAGATTGCCCCATCTTCCTTCCGAGGAGTAGCTGGTGGATTTGAACCACCAGCCTTCTGGTTAGCAGTCAAGTGCCTTAGCCACTATGCTACCAGAGCTCCTATATATATATATATATATATATACATATATACATATATATACATATAAGGAGCTCTTGTGGTGCAGTGCCTAAGGCTGCTAACCAGAAAGTTAGTGGTTCAAACCCACCAGCCATTCTGCAGAAAGAAGACGGGGCAATCTACATCCGTAAAGATTTACCACCTTGGAAACCAAATGGGGGTCATTATGAGTGGAAATCAACTCGATGGAAGTGGGTTTGGGTTTTTTTGGTTTTTTTTAAATAATATATATATGCATATAGCTATATGACTAATAATAGTCAATAATTGAAATAATTGTACTTCATTTCTTCTTTTTTCACTCAGTACTATGCTTAAATGTTGTTGTTATTATTAAATGCCATCAGGTCAGTTCCAGCTCATAGTTGGACCACATGTACAACAGAACAAAACAATGTGTGGTCCTGCACCACCCTCACAGTCATTACTGTTTCAGCCCATTGTTGCCACTGCTGTGTCAATTCCTCTCATTAGGAACTTTCTCTTTTGTGCTGACCCTCTACTTTACCAAGTAAAGTACTAGGGACTGGTCCCTCCTGATAATGGGTGTAATTTCCGTAGTTCTTTCTGCAGTATTTACTAAATTTATTAAATCTATCAGTGTTTGATACTGAACTGGATAAAGAACATAATAATCTAAAAAGAAAAGGCCAAAAGCCACCTCAGAACCTGAATAATATAGATGTGTGGCCTGTGTTCATTGTGTTAAATAATTACTCAATATGCATTTCAGGTTGTGTTCTTTAGGCATTACCCACATTCATTTTGCTAAATATTTGGATGACTTGAAAGAATTGATTCCTAGACAGTAGTCCACTTAGCTTCAGATTGTGCTTTCCCTGGACCATTCTAGAGACTTGCCTTCCTCTCATGCATTGAGAGGAGGTCTGGCCACCTTGGCAGCCACCTGACCACAGGACACACTGACACCAAGATCTCCTGCCTTTGTTTTTCAGAGGATGTTATCTGATACAGTGTCCCTCATTGGAAACCTTCTTAGGTGCCCCTCTTCTAGAGCCTTTTCCTGGGCTAAGGTAAACTTAATTTGCAAGTAAAGGTTATGAGGCATGTTTTGGGAGAAAAATGCATACATATTTATTTTCTTATTTAAGTTTCCCTCCATCATCAGAAGTTAACTTTCCTTACCTGTAAAATGGACATAATATTTTATGGCTATGATGGGAATTATTTTGGAAAGGTCTAGAATTCAGAGATGTGTTCTTGGCTGAAAGCTATTTTTATTGACATCCCTGAAGTCTTTGAATCTGACCTGCCTTCACTGAGCTCTCTATGTACATATGCTTGGTTATTAAATACCTATCAGCAAAAGGTAAATATTTTCTTTTCTGATTGTTTTTGTTGTGTTTTTCCAAGTGGGCCTCTCCAAAGCTAATTTATCTGCAAAGAGACATATGCTTTAGGTCTGTACTTGTTAATTTACCTTGGAAAAATTAGGTCATCATCAAATCTGGCAATGTGGCTTATAAACTTGGCAAAATGATCTAATTAAAAGCTTCTCATAGAAAAAAAATAAGGAAAAAAATGATCAGTATCAGTAATGTTTTCATTTTCATGATCTATGTATGTGTAGGTATATGTCACTTCTCATGTTGCATTGAAAGTATGTTGACTGTCTGCTAATAGTTCATCTCTTTTCTTCCACAGCCTCCAAGTCTGTTATAAATAGTCTGCTACGGGACCCTTCTCAGATTCCAGATGGAGTTCTAGCAAATCAGGTCTATCAGGTATTAATCACAGCTGTCTATTTTCAGTGGCAATGCTGTTATCTGCCTAGCAGAGTAAAGGATTTTAAACCTCATTTAATTACTGTCATCATAAACTATCACTGAGGTCAGGGTGCACCATAAATGGCAATGCAATATTTGCGAGAAGAGCATTTCACTTTTTAATAGCTTGCTTTTATAGTGAATAAAAAGCATGCAATTTTTGTTTTCTGTGATTAAATCTGGGCAGCCTTTTGATAGCACTTTTTTTTCTTCTTTTCTTTTCTTTTTTTTTTTTTTTTTGGAAGAAAAGTAATTACTGCTTTTAGGATGCTGGTTAACTGTAATAGGTTTTTATAGTCACCCCGCCCCAGACCCCTTCTCTTATTTGTCTGCAGTGCATTGTGAACGACTGCTGTTATGGACCACTGGTGGACTGCATCAAACAGTATCCTTTCCCATAAAATTTTAGGTGCACAATTGACGAGCTTGGACTCAGTGGAGGAGATGTGTCTAGCTTTAACCTGACATAAAGTTCTGCTTCACAAAACACATTTCATACTCTTCTATTTTACATTCAATCAACTGGAGGGTCACTGCAGACCATTCTTTCCTACAGCTTAAGAAAAATTGGATGGGCCAAGGGAAGATGTCAGTTCAGCAGTTGCACATTCACATGCTTATTTGAAAGCACTTGGTTTTCAATGAGTTTAAAGGTACAGAGTCATTAGGCAGGTAACACACTGTCTTGGATTGTATTTTACCATTCCAATGAGCATTTTTTAAAATATAATAAAGTTCCATTTAAAATGAGCCCAATTCAATGAGTTTACTAGAATAAATTTTGAGCCTAGAGTTAAAGGTGAAGATGTGATTAAAATACTGCCAGAAACTACCACATTTTAAAAGCAGTAGATTCTTATTGCTTAAATGCTGATTAAAATCTAAGCTGTCATTTGGATTCCTAATAAACATTTTGAGAGAAACCTTGCTAATTTTCCCCCTCTGGATTAAATTTAATGTGCAAACAGATGGCAGTCATTCTTCATTATAGACATTGTTAATAATTATTATGGATTATAAAGTATTCTTCATTATTTAAAAAGTTATTGCATACTTCTTAAAACAGGATTTGAATGAATGTTAATGCCTTATAAAGTAGGACATTATTAATCAATAAATTTGATGGTGTTATAATATACTAAGTATTTTGATCATCCTTGACTAAAAATGCTATTTAAATAGTTAAGAAATTTTTATGAAGATTCTATCAATGTAAGCCCATGATTCTCAAACTTCTCATAGCATAACCATCTTCCTCTTGTTCCATGTTTTGTGAGCATGGTTGGCACTGGGACTGGTTGTGACTCAGTGGGGCTCTTTGTTGGACGTACTCGCTCAAGTGTGTGAGCACATCTGTATGTGTGTATTTATTTCCCACCTTGTTTCACAAAGGCTTTGAGTCTTTTACATTTTTTAACAAAGATTTTCGTTTTTTCTTTCACAGATAAAGTTAACATTTGAAATATAGTCTTTTATTTGAGCCCCCCTTACAAAATATTTCATCCCTAAGAATATATTTATTCTCCAAAACTGTTCCGCTAATCTAGATTAAATTAATAAAAATGTATTGTAGCAAGCTCAGCCTTCTGTTAAGCCAAAATGAAACTCTACTTCTACTTTCAGCATAAAATTAGTGATAACATTAGGAATTGCAGGAATGCCAACCTCATGTGGCTATAGTGATAAAGTTTAGCACGTTTAAGTAACAAGTAACACCATCTCACGATATCTGGGGCTGAATTACTTGTTAATTTTAAAGCACATAAAATAGTTAAAAATCAACTTAAAGTTAAGGCTTTAAAAGCATAATGTCCTTTGAAGGATTGCATATTGATTTTAAATATAACTATCTGATTATATATGCATGGTCTGAAGTATGAAGTCAACTGCTTTGTAAATGCCAGGAGGCTATTTTTCAGTAATAGTTAAGATGCTTACGGGAAACTAGACTGCTGTACTGCTGGCGAAGAAAATAGCTTGTAAGGTTATTTACAAGTTTTGCCCATGGTCACTGCCATACATCAATAATAGGTATTATTATAGACAAAGTCTATGTGTTTCTGCTTATAGCACATTATAAATTCTGTTTGGAGTATTTTCCATACATTTTTGCCATCATTCACTTTCCTTTTTTTGACTATGTTACTGCCAGTAGATTTTAATGTAGTACATGATTTCAACTGATACAGATAATGATATATGTCTACAAATTGCATTCACTGCCTAGATTATAATTTTTGCAGTTCCATGATACCAATTGCTAGTAAAATTACTATTTTTATAAGCTTTATTTTCTAGACATTGCATTTTATGTATGTTTATATTAGTAAAGCATAATGAAGAATTATTTCCTTCTGAAATTTCAAATTGTTGATTGTTTTTCCATGCAAAATAAAGCAGGTTGGAAATGTTATAGATAAATTGACTTTCTCTTTACACTAAAGAAGTAACAGTTTTAGATAACAAAAATCTCTCAGAAACCCAGTGGAGCTCACTATAAGGCAGAGTTGACTCGGTGGCAGTCAATTTGGCATAGTTGTTTCCTATACTGATCAACAGGCTATGACATAATCATGGGGATTTTATAAATTATTCTATTTCTCACTGAATAAAAATGGTTGTTTCCCACGTGAGTGAAAATGATCTATGTTTCCTGTCCTCATAATTTGGTAATGTTTGCATTACTTACTCTTGATAAATCACATCATTTGGTAAGAAAGAAAAGGAGCTCTGGTAGCACACTAAGACATATAACTGCTAACCAAAAGGTTGGTGGTTCAAACCCACCAGCCACTCCATGGAAGCAAAACTGGGCAATCTACTTCCGTAAAGATTTACACCTCAGAAACCCAGTGGGGCTCACTATGAGCAGAGTTGACTCAGTGGCAGTGGGTTTTGTAAGAAAGAAAGTTCACATTTAGCAAATAAAATAGGTGTAAAACCTTTCTACTCCATTACGAAAATGTTACATGTAGACCTTTGTGTAAGAAGAATAAAGTGTAAATTGGTCATTTACTAATGTTGGTGTTGTTGTTGTTAGCTGCCATCGAGTGTCAAACTCATAGCAACCCTATGCACAGCAGAAGGAAATACTGCCTGGTATTGTGCCACCCTCACAATCCTTGCTATATCTGAGTCCATCATTGCAGTCATTGTGTCTTTCCATCTTGCTGAGGGCCTTCCCCTTCTTCATTGACCCTTCACTTTACCAAGCATAATATCCTTCTCCAGGGAATGGTTCCTTCTGACAACATGACCAAAGTAGGTGAGATGAAGTCTGGCCATTCTTGTTTTCAAGGAGCATTCCAGCTGTACTTCTTCCAGGACAGTCCTTTTAGCAGACCATGGTACTCATAATATTCTTCTCCAACAGCACAACTCAAAGCATCAGCTCTCTTCTTTGTTCTTCCTTATTTATTGTCCAATTCTCACATGCATATAAGGCAATTGAAAATGCCATGGCTTGGGTTAGGCACACATTAGTCTTCAAGGAGACATCTTTGCTCTTCAGCACTTGAAAGAGGTTCTTTGCAGCAGATTTCCCCAGTGCAATGCATCATCTGCTATCTTGACTGCTGCTTCCATTGGTGTTAATTGTAGAAACAAGAATATGAAATCCTTGACAGCTTCAATCTTTTCTCTGTCCACCATGAAGCTGTTTATTGGACCAGTTTTGAGGATTTTTGTTTTCTTTATATTGAGGTGTAATCCATATTGCAGACTGTAGTCTTTAATCTTTATTAGTAAGTGCTTCAAATCATCCTCACTTTCGTGAAGCAAAGTTGTGTCATCCATGTAGCAGGTTGTTAATGAGTCTTCCTCCAATCCTGATGCCATGTTCTTCTTCATATAATCCAGCTTCTCAGATTACTTGTTCAGCATACAAATTGAATAAGTGTGGTGAAAGGATACAACCTTGACACACTCCCTTCTTGATTTTGAACCATGCAATATCCCCTTGTTCTGTTCGAATGACATCCTCCTGATCTATGTACAGGTTCCTCTTGAGTACAATGAAGTGTTCTGGAGTTCCCGTTCTTCTCAATGTTACCCATAATTTGTTATGATTTACACAATTGAATGCTTTTGCATAGTCAATAAAACATAAGTAAACATCTTTCTGGTATTCTTTGCTTTCAGCTAACGTCCATCTGACATCAACAGTGTTATCCCTCATTCCATGTCCTCTTCTGAATCCAGCTTCCATTTCTGGAAGCTCTCTGTCATTATACTGCTGTAACCATTTTTTAATTATCTTCAGGAATATTTTACTTTCATGTGATATTAATGATATTGTTTAATAATTTCCACATTCTGTGGGATCACCTTTCTTTGGAATGGGTACAAATATGTATCTCTTCCAGTTAGCTGACCAGGTACCTGTCTTCCAAATCTCTTCGTATAACCACATGAGTGCCTCCAGCGGGACATCCGTTTGTTGAAATATCTCAATGGATTTTCCATCAATTGCTGGAGCCTTGTTCTTTGCCAATTCCTTCAGTGCAGCTTCAACTTCTTCCTTCAGTGCCATTGGTTCTTGATCATATATCACCTCCTGAAATGGGTGAACATTGACCAGTTCTTTTTAGTACAGTGACTCTGTGTATTCCTTCCATCTTCTTTCAATGTTGCCTGGATCATTCAATATTTTGCCCATAGAATCTTTCAATATTGCAACTAGAGGCTTAAATCTTTTCCTTAGTTCTTTCAGCCTGAGAAATGCCAACCATGTTCTTCCCTTTTGGTTTTCTAACTCCAGATCTTTGCTCATTTCTTTATAGTAGTTGGCTTTGTCTGCTCAAGCTGCTCTTTGAAATCTTCTGTTCAGCTCTTTTATCTTGTCATTTATTCCATTTGCTTTAGCTACTCGTTCTTCAAGGGCAAGTTTCAGAGTCTCTTCTCACATCCATTTTGGTCTTTTCTTCCTTTCTTTTCTTTTTAATGACCTCTTGCTTTCTTCATGGATGATGTTCTTGATGTCATCCCACAATTCATCTGGTTTTCAGTCTTGGTGTTCAGTGCATCAAATCTATTCTTTAAATGGTCTCTAAATTCAGGAGGGATATTATCAAGGTCATATTTTGGGTCTTGTGGACTTGTTTTAATTATATTCAACTTCTACGTGAACGTACATATGAGTAGTTGATGGTCTGTTCCACAGTCAGCTCCTGGCCTTGTTTTGGCCAAAGACACAACTTCTTCATTGCCGCTTGCCACAGATATAGTCAACCTGATTCCTGTGCACTCCTTCTGGTGAAATTCACATGCATAGTCATTACTTATGTTGTTGCAAAAAGGTATTTGCAATTGATAAAGTTGTTGGTCTTACAAAGCTCTATCATGTGATCTCCAGCGTTATTTCTATCTCCAAGGCCATATTTTCCA